GCGAGAAGAAGAAGGGCCATTCTGCCATCAATGAGGTGGTGACCCGAGAGTACACAATCAACATTCACAAGCGCATCCACGGAGTGGGCTTCAAGAAGCACGCCCCTCAGGCACTTAAGGAGATCCGGAAGTTTGCCATGAAGGAAATGGGGACTCCAGATGTGCGCATTGACACCAGGCTCAACAAAGCTGTCTGGGCCAAAGGAATAAGGAATGTTTCATATGGTATCTGAGTACGGTTGTCCAGGAAACGGAATGAGGATGAAGATTCACCAAACAAGCTATATGCCTTGGTAACCTACGTACCTGTTACCATGTTCAAAAATCTCCAGACAGTGAATGTGGATGAGAACTAACTTGGAAATAAAATTACAGAACTTCCAAAAAAAATTTTCTTGGTACAGGTAATCAAACTTAGGATCTTATGCTTGCCAGGCAGGCACTTTTGCCACCGAGCTATAGCCCTGGCCCCTTTTTTAAATTGTTTTTATGGGAGCCAGAAAGATGGCTCAGTGGAATAAGCGCTTCCCTGGCAAGCGCAAGGGCCTGAGTTCAATCCCTGGTTCCACCAAAAAAAATAAATAAATAAATAAAATAAATTGGTTTTATAATACATTTTATTTTGTTGTTGAGGACTGGGTTCCACGATGTAGCCAGGATGGCCTTGATTTGCAGTTCTCCTGCATCCATTTCCTCAAGTGCTGGAATCATAGATGTTTGCCTCCCATGCCCAGCTAATACTTTTCCAATATCAGTAAGTAGGCAATACCCTATCATTTAAACACAAACTGTAATGAAGTACAGCGCACACACCCAAAGTGTACAAATTGCCCTTGTTTGCAAGTTCATTGAATCTTCACAAAATGAGCCCCTGTGTACCCAGAATCCAGCATGAATTCCTCTGCTCTGTCTACAGTGGTAATCCTTATTCCAGAATGTAACATCATACATTTCTTATGCCTATTTTCAGGGCTTCCATAACCAGCTCCTCTCTCAGGAAATCCCAGCTGTGACGCAGGCCCACCTTGGAGGCTGATGCAGGTGACCATACAGTGGATAGCCAGTTCTCCACTAACCTACTGAGATGGAGTTTTCAGCTAATTGTATGGATTTAACATGCTAGTGCCATCTTTTGGTGAACACATACACATGCTGGGTGATAAAGTGTGCATATGGGGGCATGATAAAAAATTATGGTGAATCTTGAATTTTTTTTTTTTTTTCTTTTTGAGACAGAGCTTCACAATGTAGTCCCAACTGCCTTTAAGCCTATGTGATCTACCTGCCTTAGCCTCCCGAGTGCTGGAATTACAAGCGGGCATCACCATACCTAGCCCAAAAAGGGAAAAAAAGAGGCCTTGCCATTGATCTCCTTTATCCAAGGAAGGGCTGGGGAGATGGCTCAGTGGAATAAGCGCTTCCCTGGCAAGTGCAAGGACATGAGTTCGATCCCCGGTTCCACCAAAAAAAAAAATCCAAGGAAGGAGGCGGAGATGGCTCTAAGTGCTTGCCTGGCAAGGTCTCGAGTTCAATCCCTGGTACCACCACCCTCCCTGAAAAAAAAAAAAAAAAAAAAAAAAAAATCCAAAGAAAACAAAAGTAAAAAAGATAAAAAGAGGAAAAAAGCTGGAAACAAAGTTTTTTAAATAATGAAGGAGGGGCTGGTGATACGGCTCAGTGGTCTAAAGCACCTACTTAGAACAAGCTTAGCAAAGCACAGGGACTGCGGTTCAATTCCCCAGCACCACATGCCAGCTGGCACTGCCCCCTGGTGGGCTGAGCTGGCCACACACACACACACACACACACACATAAATAAATAAAATAAATAAATTTTAAAGAAATAATGAAGGAACAGGGTTTGAAGGGAAAGTAGGGGAATGGCAAAAAATAAAAGAATGAGGTTATATCATATACAGGTACAAATTCTCCATGGTGAATGTGATCATTATGTATACCTAAAGTGCAACTCGAAAAAACATTTTCTTTGAAAACAATAAAAAAAAAAAAAAAAACCCTTCCCTCTCTTCCTTGAAAACACTTATGCTATTATTCTTGCCACTTCCTGTAACAGTTCTGGAAGCTCTTCTCTGAGAGTCTGAATGTCTCGTTGACCTGTCCTGGCTTCCCCAATGTCCTGAGCCAGTTAAAGTTCACCTTCCATGGTCATTCTGACTTTGAGGAAGAGCCAGAATGGAGAAGGTGCCACAACCAGTAAAAAAGGTGGACAAGGACACATCATAATATTTTTAACATAAACTTCCATAACATGAGTACTTTGGAATTCTGAAACACACACATGAAAAGACACACAGGAAAGATTTCCAGAAAGTGTTAAGGACAATGGGATAAGTTTGTTTAAAGTGAGGAAGAATATTTTGAGGAAGAGTCAGGGAAATGTTTTTTTGCTATAATAAATTTTGAAATATTTAGGCAGCTGGTTGTGATGGCACATGCCTATAATCCTAGCACTGGGGAGGCTAAGGCAGGAGGGCTGCAACAACATTGAGGCAGCCTGGGCAATTTCAGAGGCTCTACCCCCAAAAATTAAAGGGAGAAAAAGGTTCAGGACATAGCTAACACTCCCAGGGTTCAATCCCCATTATGAAAATAAAAACCAAAGCAGTAAAGCTTGGCATTTCTAAAAATAAAGGTTCAGCTGTGGTGCTACACAAATGTTGCCCCACCACTGGAAGCCAAGGCAGCAGGATGACAAGTTTGAACTCAGGCAGGGAAACCTACAGAGACCACAGATAAAGTCAAAATCAAATAAAAAAGGGCTGGGGGTGGGGTGCCGCTCAGCGGCAGGCAGGCACCAGCCTAGCAGGGCTGCGGGCCTGGATTCCATTCTCCAGCCCACACCCAGGCCCACACCACTAGAAAGTCTGACCCAGCTTCAGCAAGAAAAAGTGATAAATAGCAACGCAGAGTTGTAACAACTGTGGGCAAAGCCAGCATATTATTTTTTAATGAAAGTTTAAAATTATTTTGGACCAAAGTATCCCTTCACATGGAAGGCTGTTTAAAATTAGACAATCAGGTTGCCAAAATAATGCATTGTTTAACAAGGCTGAGCAAATTATTTTTCTGCACAAAGACAGAGGATAAAATATTATGAGTTTGGTGGGCTGTACATCTCTGCTGTAATTATTGTTATTTTAAGCAAGTGGCCACAGACAATTTGCCAGTAAATGACACACTTAATGGACACTTAAACGTGACGTTCATATAACACCATATCACACACACTCACTGAGACAAGATATAAGAATTAACAAACCTAACGTGATGCTGTACACCTACAAGCCTAGCACTCTGGGAGGCTGTGCCAAGAGGATCTTAAATTCAAACCTAGCCTGAGCAACTTAGTGAGATTCTGTCTCAACAGTAACTACCAGGCCCGGAGAGATGGCTCAGTGGAATAAGCGCTTCCCTGGCAAGCCCAAAGGCCTGAGCTCAATCCCCGGTTCAGCCCAAAAAATAAATAAATAAATAGTAGTTACCGCTGGAAAATGGTATTGAGAAAAGAGAGGGTTTTCTAGTTATGCTGTCAACTCTACAGAAATGCGTAGCCAAGAACACTGGGGCTCCCACACATGCTCCTCCGTGGAGAACTTCTGATGCGCCCTGAAGAATTATGGGTCATGGGGCCAGGGAGATGGCTCAGTGGAATAAGCACTTCCCTGGCAAATGTAAGGACCTGGGTTCAATCCCCGGTTCTGCCAAAAAATTTAAAAAAAAAAAATTATGGGTCAGGGTCTGTATTGGAGACACATTCTGAAGAGATTTCCTTTAATCAACAAGCTTAATCAGGGCTTAATTAACAATAGCTACGCAGGCTCAGTGACGTGGCCTGGAATCCCAGCACTCAGAAGGTGGAGGCAGGAAGACAGACGGGGTTTGAGGGCACACTGGACTACATAGCAGGACTCTGTCTCAAAACAGCAACAACAAACAAAAACAAAATGGGCTGAGCTTTGCT